TTTTAGCGGTAATGCTGCAGACGTATTCATTCTTCAAAGGTGATACTCGATGGGTCTCTGATGTCATTATGACGTAGGATGGTCAGTGTTACGTTACAGAATTAAAGAGTTTTCGTAGTTAATCACAGGTGTGAGTATGCATATGTGCTTTTAAACCAGAATTATATGAAAATTTTCTTGAGCATATTTTGCATGTAAACGGTATTTCAACAGTATGCATTCTCATATGTTATTTTAAATTATTTTCTGTTGAACATTTTTTGGCACAAATTTCACATTATTAAAATGTTTCAATGGTATGCATTCTCATATGCAAATTAAAAACTTGGTTCTTAAAACACTTTTTGAAGCAAATTTCACATTTAAATGATTCTTTCTTGATCGGTGCGCAATTTCATATATTTTTAGAAAACTCTTTGAAAATTGTCTGGTACAAATCCCACATTCAAATTTGTTTTCACTAGTATGCACTGAAATATGCGATTTCAAAACATGTTTTGTTGAAAATTGTTTGGTGCAACTTTCACATTTAAGTAATTCCTCATCAGTGCGCAATTTCATATATTTTTAAATAACATTTTGAAAATTTTTTGCTGCAAATTTGATATTGAAATGGTCTTTCACCAGTATGCACTCTAACATGCGTATTTAAAACTTTTTCGTTAAAAACTGATGACACATTGTTAACAACTTTTTGGTGCAGATGTCACATTCAAATGGTTTTTCACCAGTCTGCACTCTCATATGCGTATTTAAAATTTGTTTCCATAAAAACCGTTTGGTGCAGATTTCACATTAAAATGGTTTTTACCTGTATGCACTCTTATATGCGCTTTTAAATTTTGTTTCATTGAAAATTGTCTGGTACAAATCCCACATTCAAATCGGTTTTCACCAGTATGCACTGAAATGTGCGATTTCAACACATATTTTGTTGAAAATTGTTTGGAACAAATTTCACATTCAAATAGTTTTTCACCAGTATGCAATCTCATATGGGATTTTAAATGATGTTTCATTGAAAATTGTCTGGTACAAATCCCACATTCAAATCGGTTTTCACCAGTATGCACTGAAATATGCGATTTCAACACATGTTTTGTTGAAAACTGTTTGGCGCAAATTTTACATTCAAATTGTTTTTCACCTGTATGCACCTGCATATGGTATTTTAAATTCTCCTTTCTTGAAAATTTTTTGTTGCAAATTTCACATTCAAATGGTTGTTCACCAGTATGCACTGCCATATGCGATTTCAAAACTTGCTTTGTTGAAAATTGTTTGGTGCAAAACCCACATTCAAATCGGTTTTCACCAGTATGCACTGAAATATGCGATTTCAAAACATGTTTTGTTGAAAACTGTTTGGAGCAGATTTCACATTCAAATGGTTTTTCACCAGTATGCAATCTCATATGGGATTTTAAATGATGTTTCATTGAAAATTGTCTGGTACAAATCCCACATTCAAATAGGTTTTTACCAGTATGCGATTTCATGTGTATTTTTAAATACCTCTTTGTTGAAAATTGTTTGGTGCAAATTTCACATTCAAATGGTTTTTTCTCAGTGTGTAGTTCTAAACGACAATTGTTTGACAATGGTTTCCTGCAAATAATGCATATAAAGCGTTGTCCTCCAGGGTTCACATTGGTATTGGAAGTTGTATAGGGGTTCAAATTACTGTCACTTTTATTATAATTTGTTAATAGGCTCTTGGCATCAGTTTTCATATCTTTGCAAGAGAAACCTAAAATGATAATTACCTGTTAAATCAGAATTATGTAATTAAATGAAACTTAAAAATGTATGATTGCAGAAAATATATCTAGGCTGAGTTGAAGAAATATGTTTGTTTAGGTCGCGAAAATAGTAATAATAAAAAATCACAGATTCTATTTACTATAAGTAAAAGAATTCACAAGAAATTAAATTTAAAGTTTTATTATAGAGTCATCGGCAAATAAATATAAAGGTAATTAGATGGATTCCTGGAAAATATTCAAGAGAGTTCAACTGTATCTAGAGATTTTTAGCGGTGATGCAGCAGATATATTCATTCTTCAAAGGTGATACTCGATGTGTCTCTGATGGCATTATTACGTAGGATGGTTAATGTTACGCTACAGAATTTAAGAGTTTTCATAGCTAATCACAGGTGTGAGTTTGTATATGTGCTTTTAAAACCAGAATTATGTGAAAATTTTCTGGAGCATATATTGCGTGTAAAAGGTTTTTCACTAGTACACACTCCATATGCAAATTAAAAACTTGTTTCGTAAACAACTGTTTGGAGCAAATTTAACATTTAAATGATTTTTCATCAATATATATATATATATATATATATATATATATATATATATATATATATATATATATATATATATATATATATAGCGAGTGTTTGCAACTTTAATTTTGTCGCTTCTTGCATCCCAATCGCCATAATTTCTTATCGGCCCAGTCTCCTTCTTGAAGACCTCTATTTTCCATTTCTATATGAATATTGGATATCCATTTCTTTCTTGGCCTTCCCCTTTTAATTCTCTGTGTAGGTCTCCAGTTCCAAACCTTTCGCGATATCCTTTCTTCGTTCATCCGTCTCAGGTGTCCATACCATTTTAATTGTTTTTCGGCTATCGTATCCATTATTGTGTTCTTTACTTTCATTCTCTCTCTTATGTTTTCATTTCTTATGTGGTCAAACAAAGTTAACCCGGAACATCTTCTCCAGTACATCATTTCCGTTGAGAGGAGTTTTTGTGACATATTCTTGTTAAAGACCCACACTTCTGACCCATACGTCAGCACCGGCTGAATCATAGCCTGATATATATTTTTCTTTGTTTTCTTAGTTAAAGTTTTATTCCACAGGATCGGATGTAGTGTTTTTATCATGTTTTTTCCTTTTCCTATTTTTCTTGTTATATCTTTGTCGTCTCTCCCGTCTTCGCTTAGTGTAACTCCGAGATATTCGTACTGATCAACGTTTTTAATTAATCCGCTTTCTGTTTCCATGTCTTGACTGATGCCTCCTATATTCATGTATTGTGTCTTTTCGGTATTAACCTCTAATCCCCATTTTTTTAAATTCGTCTATTAGTTTGTTTATCATGTACGTCATATCTTGTAGGTCCTTGGCAAGAACTACCTGGTCGTCTGCGAAGAGGATTGTGTATATAGAAGTGTCATTTACCCATATGCCCATTGGGCTGCATTTTCTTATCCAATAGTTTAAAGCATTACCAAGATATACTTTAAATAGGGTTGGGGAGAGGCAAGAGCCCTGTTTGACACCCTTTGTTTGGGTGAAACCCTTGGAAATTTGGTTTCCACCCTTAATATAAGCTTGGTTATCTTGATATAGCTTTTTCACGGCATTTATATATACCTACTGCATTTATACCTGCGTTTTCCATAGTCTCTGCAGTGGTACGGAGTCAAACGCTTTACGAAGATCTATAAAAGTGGCATGAAGTTCTAGTCCTCTTGCTAATCTCTTTTCCGTTAGATGTTTGAGAGTAAATACATTGTCGACACAAGATCTCCCTGGTCGGAATCCACTTTGTTCTTCGATCTCTGTGGCTTCTTTTTCTATTCTGGCTTTCAGAACTCTTTCATACAGTTTGCCAGTGGATGACGTAATGCTATTACCTCGGTAATTACTGCAGTCATTCCTGTTTCCCTTTTTGTAGATGAAGTTTATGTACGAGACTTTCCAATCTCTTGGGATACTTTCTCCTTGTAGGCACTTGTTAAACATTTTACAAAGCAATTCTAATGTTATTGCAGTGGCATGTTTGAATAACTCGATAGGTAAATCACCCGGCCCAGGAGCTTTATTATTTTTCATTTTTTGTAGTGCGTTTTTATTTCTTCTACGGTAATCATCGCCACTTCATTTAACCCCGTTTCAACTCTATCTTTGTGTCTAGAAACTGTGTACGTTGTTCATTTAATAGATTTTCATAATAATTTTTCCATCTTTCTATGTCTATGGGGTTTATTTTTTTTTGTTTCGTTTGTATTTTTTCTAAGACTGTTGATAGTTTTCCAAGCTTGTCTGGACCTAGATCCTCCTACCATTTGCGCAATTTCATATATTTTTAAATAACATTTTGAAAATTTTTTGCTGGAAATTTGATATTGAAATGGTTTTACACCAGTATGCACTCTAATATGCGTATTTAAATCTTTTTTCGTTAAAAACTAATGACACATTGTTGACAATTTTTTTTTGGTGCAGATGTCACATTCAAATGGTTTTTCTTCAATATGCACTCTTATACGTGATGTTCAATTATAATTTTTTTAATATTTTTTAGAACAAATTTTTTTCCATAAGTATGCACTCTCATAATATCGTCGGCTTACAAGCGAAACACACTAAGTCAAAAAATATAGTTTTGAGATAATCGTGTTTTAAATTTTTTTAAAAACAGTTTCATCAATTTTCACATTTAAAATTTTTATTTGTTGTTTTGTAATTATACGAAAGTTTTCATAAAGTATTAATAATGATTACTGACGAGGAGAAGTAAATTATATATTAACAAATTATTAATTTTTGTTTAATTTTCGATTTGAATACGTTGACTTAATGTTTTTTACATGTAGCATTTAAATTAGTGTGTTTTACTTGTTTAATTTTGCTATGAAAGTATGACTTACGTGTATTTTTTTTTATTTACTTACTGTCATATGATTATTGCAGGCTTCGTTTACATTGTAAATAATACAATAATTTTTGCTTATATAAGTTTTTACTTTGTTCATGTATATTTTCACAAAATAAAAACATTATTAAAAAAAAAACAGGTATAACAAAACAAAATGTGTATAACAAAAAAAATATGCTTCTAATTTTCAAAATTCTTCTTCGTCAGAGTTCTTTTCAGCTGACTCCGCTGTTTGGTCTCGAACAGAAGAAGAACTTGGTAGATTTTTGAACCAGGTATGGAGCGCTGGCGGAACTATATTTTTTTCACAGAGCTTTATCAAATCTTTTTTCTTTGCATCCGAAATTGGAAGCTGTTTAGAATATAATTGAGGAATAACCAAATTTTCATTATTATTATCCTCTTTGACTGTTCTGTTAGAAGCACGACACGTACAAAACTAACGTTAATATATTTATAGTCGTCGTGAAAATTATACTTGTACTGTAGAATGCTAGGAAACTGTTTCTCATACTTAAAACACTTTACCTTTAACCAGTTGACCGTTTGCCCTTTTTGATCCTCTTTCTTATTAACAATAGTATATTGTGCAAGTTTTTTCAAATCTAAGAATTCATTATAATTAACTTCACGAGTATTATAGGAAGATTTTCTATTCCCATTGTTGCCCATTCTGGCCATTTTAAAGATATTTTTCTATTCTTGAACACTAAAAATCTCCACATTTTTTTTTGGCACTTTCAATAGCGCTATGCATGGAATCTACTTCCATATAGGAGTGTCCACTTTCCATGAACTTTTACTCAATTATCCGAAGACTCGGATGGTTTTTAACAATATGTAAAAGCAGAGCAGATACTTAAATATTTCTGTTCTGTCCTTCTCACGTATCTGAAAAAATCGTTAGATGTTCTATATCAGATAATGAATTAATGTACATTCCTAGGCAAGTACCAATTTCACAGCTTCCACGCTTACCATTGACTTCGGTCCAAAAATAACAGAATACCTCATTTGGTGGAACAGATTCATAAATTGTAAAATTATAGAGGTTCAGCTTTCTAAGATAATACAAGAGACTTACTTGCGATGATGGAATTTGTAAAACGCTTTGCATATCACATGTAATGGATTTAAATTTTTTATTTATTTTTCGATACTTCTTTGTCTCAATTTTTTTCTTTCATTGCAGCCTCTTTTCTGTCTAAATGACTCCTATAATTAAGCTCCATCGCTTCTTTTCTTGTTGCGATGCTTTTGTGGATTCCTTACAGGTCAAACATTGGTCTTTCGAAGGTTTGAAAAATGATATACCTATTAAATTTCTTGCAAAAGATTCGCCTATAAGGTATCTGACTTAAGCTTGGCAAATTGTCCTCTTTAGACTTTTTAACGAACAGGTGGTGCATTTTTTTAATATTAAGATTGCAATCTAAATAAAGTCTTTTCGAAGACTTTCTAGTGTAGTGACTTTCTACAACAGAAAAGCTTTCAATGTGTTATTTTGCTCTTATTCTTGTTTCCACTGAAGTTTTATTGCCAGGAATCCTACGGCCCCTTCTGTCTATTCCACTATATTCGCCGCGTAAGTCAGTCGGTAGGTTCATTCGTAGTCAAGTGAAATACATTAAGTCACTTAGTGTGTTTTGCCTAAATCATATATAGTTTTTGAGACTTAGTGAGAAACATGATAATTATAAAAATAACCGTTTTTGTTATTGTATGACTTAGTGAGTTTAACCAGTCTAAAGAGTAAAAAAAATACAATAAAATGCTGCAAATAACTCAAAAGTGAAAAAAATTGACTTAGTGTGTTTCGCTTGTAAGCCGACGATATGCGAATTTAAAACTTTTTTCGTTGAAAACAGTGTGGTGCAGATTTCCCATTCAAATGGTTTTTCACCAGTATGCACTCTCATATGCCTATTTAAAACTTATTTCCACAAAAACCGTTTGTTGCAGAGTTCACATTAAAGTGGTTTTTACCTGTATGCACTCTTATATGCGCTTTTAAATTTTGTTTCATTGAAAATTGTCTGGTACAAATCCCACATTCAAATCGGTTTTCACCAGTATGCACTGAAATATGCGATTTCAAAACATGTTTTTGTTGAAAACTGTTTGGTGCAAATTTTACATTCAAATAGTTTTTCACCTGTATGCACTCTCATATGGTATTTTAAATTCTCCTTGCTTGAACATTTTTTGTTGCAAATTTCACATTCAAATGGTTTTTCACCAGTATGCACTGCCATATGCGATTTCAAAACTTGCTTTGTTGAAAATTGTTTGGTGCAAAACCCACATTCAAATCGGTTTTCACCAGTATGCACTGAAATATGCGATTTCAAAACATGTTTTGTTGAAAAACTGTTTGGAGCAGATTTCACATTCAAATAGTTTTTTCACCAGTATGCAATCTCATATGGGATTTTAAAATGATGTTTCATTGAAAATTGTCTGGTACAAATCCCACATTCAAATCGGTTTTCACCAGTATGCACTGAAATATGTGATTTCAACACATGTTTTGTTGAAAAGTGTTTGGTGCAAATTTTACATTCAAATAGTTTTTCACCTGTATGCACTCTCATATGGTATTTTAAATTCTCCTTGCTTGAACATTTTTTGTTGCAAATTTCACATTCAAATGGTTTTTCACCAGTATGCACTGCCATATGCGATTTCAAAACTTGCTTTGTTGAAAATTGTTTGGTGCAAAACCCACATTCAAATCGGTTTTCACCAGTATGCACTGAAATATGCGATTTTCAAAACATGTTTTGTTGAAAACTGTTTGGAGCAGATTTCACATTCAAATAGTTTTTCACCAGTATGCAATCTCATATGGGATTTTAAATGATGTTTCATTGAAAATTGTCTGGTACAAAATCCCACATTCAAATCGGTTTTCACCAGTATGCACTGAAATATGTGATTTCAACACATGTTTTGTTGAAAAGTGTTTGGTGCAAATTTTACATTCAAATAGTTTTTCACCTGTATGCACTCTCATATGGTATTTTAAATTCTCCTTGCTTGAACATTTTTTGTTGCAAATTTCACATTCAAATGGTTTTTCACCAGTATGCACTGCCATATGCGATTTCAAAACTTGCTTTGTTGAAAATTGTTTGGTGCAAAACCCACATTCAAATCGGTTTTCACCAGTATGCACTGAAATATGCGATTTCAAAACATGTTTTGTTGAAAACTGTTTGGAGCAGATTTCACATTCAAATAGTTTTTCACCAGTATGCAATCTCATATGGGATTTTAAATGATGTTTCATTGAAAATTGTCTGGTACAAATCCCACATTCAAATCGGTTTTCACCAGTATGCACTGAAATATGTGATTTCAACACATGTTTTGTTGAAAAGTGTTTGGTGCAAATTTTACATTCAAATAGTTTTTCACCTGTATGCACTCTCATATGGTATTTTAAATTCTCCTTGCTTGAAAATTTTTTGTTGCAAATTTCACATTCAAATGGTTTTTCACCAGTATGCACTGCCATATGCGATTTCAAAACTTGCTTTGTTGAAAATTGTTTGGTGCAAAACCCACATTCAAATCGGTTTTCACCAGTATGCACTGAAATATGCGATTTCAAAACATGTTTTGTTGAAAACTGTTTGGAGCAGATTTCACATTCAAATGGTTTTTCACCAGTATGCAATCTCATATGGGATTTTAAATGATGTTTCATTGAAAATTGTCTGGTACAAATCCCACATTCAAATGGGTTTTTACCAGTATGCGATTTCATGTGTATTTTTAAATACCTCTTTGTTGAAAATTGTTTGGTGCAAATTTCACATTCAAATGGTTTTTTTCTCAGTGTGTAGTTCTAAACGACAATTGTTTGACAATGGTTTCCTGCAAATAATGCATATAAAGCGTTGTCCTCCAGGGTTCACATTGTATTGGAAGTTGCATAGGGGTTCAAATTACTGTCACTTTTATTATAATTTGTTAATAGGCTCTTGGCATCAGTTTTCATATCTTTGCAAGAGAAACCTAAAATGATAATTACCTGTTAAATCAGAATTATGTAATTAAATGAAACTTAAAAATGTATGGTTGCAGAAAATATATCTAGGCTGAGTTGAAGAAATATGTTTGTTTAGGTCGAGAAAATAGTAATAATAAAAAATCACAGATTCTATTTACTATAAGTAAAAGAATTCACAAGAAATTAAATTTAAAGTTTTATTATAGTCATCGGCAAATAAATATAAAGGTAATTAGATGGATTCCTGGAAAATATTCAAGAGAGTTCAACTGTATCTAGAGATTTTTAGCGGTGATGCAGCAGATATATTCATTCTTCAAAGGTGATACTCGATGTGTCTCTGATGGCATTATTACGTAGGATGGTCAATGTTACGCTACAGAATTTAAGAGTTTTCATAGCTAATCACAGGTGTGAGTTTGTATATGTGCTTTTAAACCAGAATTACGTGAAAATTTTCTGGAGCATATATTGCGTGTAAAAGGTTTTTCACTAGTACACACTCCATATGCAAATTAAAAACTTGTTTTCGTAGACAACTGTTTGGAGCAAATTTTAACATTTAAATGATTTTTCATCAATATATATATATTATATATATATATATATATTATATATATAATATATATATATATATATTATATATATATATATATATATATATATATATATATATATATATATATATATATATATATATATAGCGAGTGTTTGCAACTTTAATTTTGTCGCTTCTCGCATCCCAATCGCCATAATTTCTTATCGGCCCAGTCTCCTTCTTGAAGACCTCTATTTTCCATTTCTATATGAATATTGGATATCCATTTCTTTCTTGGCCTTCCCCTTTTATTTCTCTGTGTAGGTCTCCAGTTCCAAACCTTTCGTGATATCCTTTCTTCGTTCATCCGTCTCAGGTGTCCATACCATTTTAATTGTTTTTCGGCTATCGTATCCATTATTGTGTTCTTTACTTTCATTCTCTCTCTTATGTTTTCATTTCTTATGTGGTCAAACATAGTTAACCCGGAACATCTTCTCCAGTACATCATTTCCGTTGAGAGGAGTTTTTGTGACATATTCTTGTTAAAGACCCACACTTCTGACCCATACGTCAGCACCGGCTGAATCATAGCCTGATATATATATTTTTTTGTTTTCTTAGTTAAAGTTTTATTCCACAGGATCGGATGTAGTGTTTTTATCATGTTTTTTCCTTTTCCTATTTTTCTTGTTATATCTTTGTCGTCTCTTCCGTCTTCGCTTAGTGTAACTCCGAGATATTCGTACTGATCAACGTTTTTAATTAATCCGCTTTCTGTTTCCATGTCTTGACCGATGCCTCCTATATTCATGTATTGTGTCTTTTCGGTATTAACCTCTAATCCCCATTTTTTGAATTCGTCTATTAGTTTGTTTATCATGTACGTCATATCTTGTAGGTCCTTGGCAAGAACTACCTGGTCGTCTGCGAAGAGGATTGTGTATATAGAAGTGTCATTTACCCATATGCCCATTGGGCTGCATTTTCTCATCCAATAGTTTAAAGCATTACCAAGATATATTTTAAATAGGGTTGGGGAGAGGCAAGAGCCCTGTTTGACACCCTTTGTTTGGGTGAAACCCTTGGAAATTTGGTTTCCACCCTTAATATAAGCTTGGTTAT